CAAATGAAGTTCTTAGCAATGTATATTACTAATCAAAAATTAAGTTTTTATATATTTACGGTAGGAAATTTACAAAATATCTTCATGGAACATGATCTTTACTTAATGTCCGAATGATTTTTGGCATAAAAGAAAAATCTATAATTTTGACCCATACAATGTATTGTTGGCTATTGCTACAAATATACCCCAGCGACTTAAGACTGCTTTTGTGCTCCAGGGTCACATATGTTGTTTAGAGCAGGGTTATTATCGGTTAAAAAAAGGACTAAAACTGAAATAAAAATATGTAACAAAAAAATAAAATCAATAAATCAATAAAAATGAAGAAAAAACAAGAAAATCACAAAAAATGTAACTACAATTAAAAGAAAACAGAAAATATAAAAATAAAACCTTATTCAAAATATGAATAAAAACTATTATAGTATATGACTGTTAGTAAAATGGCAGCGGTTCAGCTGTGAACCAGGTGATGATGTCCTTCCCTGCAGCTGTCACTCAAATCAGAGTGGCTCTGTGATTGGTGTGCTCCCTCTGCCCTGTCCCGCCCCCAGAGGGGCCAGAGCGTGTGAGAGAGAGTGTGTGTGTGTGTGTGTGTGTGCGCTGAGGACATGATGTTCAGGAGAAGCTCCGCTTTATTAGCAGTGATCTGTCAGTCAATATCCTGGCATTCTGAGATCTAACTGTGCCATTTTGACAATTAAACTCCATTAGATATAATGTTCAGCATTATCTGTCAATATGAAACACATATGAATACTTACTCTAGCAGTTCATAGTTGGATTTTTTATCCAGAGCGTTTCCTCTCATCTCTCTGTAGAATCTCCTGGAAAAGAGAACCGCAGAAATCAGCACGATCGTCTCACAGTCTGACGGGACGATGAACGATGAACGCACCGGATCTCAAGACACCCCAGCTTCAGCGCCATCTCCTGCTCCACCTGATCCGCAATCTCCAGCATGTAGTCATTCTTCACCTGCAAACAGAAACATTCACTCATTTGAGCTGCTGTGGACAAAGGTGTCTGCTAAATAAATACATGTAAATGAAAGACCAGATTTTAAAAAAATGAAATAATATCATGCAAAATTACATCTATAATTTAGAATTTAAATTTTTGGATAAAATTGTATCCAAAAAAAAAAGATATAAATTGTAAATATAATATTGTAAGATATACTTTTTTAATATATTAAAATTTTATATATATAATACTTAAAGGTATTAGATTAAAAACATGATGTATACTTTATATAAAATTATTAAATAATTAATATAAAATATTAAATTAAAATAATTTAACAAAAATAACATGACCTTCATTTGTAAATTAAAAATTTTGATTG